TTCTCCAAACCTGAGATATTAAATCCTATTTCTTCATGATGTCATCGCTTGATTCTGTTTTTGCTTGACTATTTCTACTGCTTGTGAAACCACCTTAACTGATCTTCCTGCCTTAAGTCTCTCTCTGTTTTAGCTGATCCTGTATACCGCTGCAGTTTAAAATACTTCTTTCATCCACGGGCATAGATTTGAATATAATACTTTTTAATAACTTCTGTGTTGTGTTCTACATACTAGAAACTGCACCATTTATGACTATTATCCCCATTTTAAGATAAGTAATTTGAAGCTCAGGAGAGGTTAAACATTTTCAAGGTCACACAACTAGTAAGTGGCAGAGCAAGTAATCATAGAGGTTGGTTAGATCCTAAAGTTTATGCTCTGAACACATACAGAGATAATGCAATTTGTGACCTAGGTGGAATATATTTCATAGCAAAAAGGATTGTTACTAATAATTTTCTGGGACAGTAGATCTAAAAGTGGAGGATCCCAAACAAACCAGGACTAGTAATACCATATTAATACTACCCTCTACTTCCTCTCCAGTAAAACTGGGAAGGTTAGACAGATGTCTATTTTGGGGACAAAGATGATATGTTAATCTTTGTACTTGTTGAGTTCAGGGTGACAACAGAGCATGATACTGGAACATTTTACTAGAGAGGCCATATACACAGGACAGGGAATTAACAGAAAGGTAAGAGCAAATTTAGGTATTAACAATGTAGAGAATGTTTTCAAAGTCATGAGATGAGATGCCCAAACATTTAAGAAAGAAGAGGCACAGAGATGATTGAGAACTGGTCACTGGGAATTTTGAAACATTGAGTGGGTAAGGAGGATAAAGAGACAGAATGGGAGATGACTCTATTAGACTGCAAATCTCTTTAGGAAATCAAAAATTTCTTTTGCATCCTTTATTAGCATTTTCATATGCCACACACACATATTGAAAACCAATATACCATTAAGTATAATTGCAAACCATATGACTTCTGGTAGATAAGACTAATTTTGTGCCCATCCTTAGATCCTAACTGAAATTATTTCATATGCAAACATTTCAGCTGCCATCTTTTCTCTCTGGACAGGTTTTCATATGGTTTTTGTTGAAACCATGGCTTATTCCTATATGTCTTTTGTGTGGAGTGAAGGATACCGCCTTTACCACCACCCTTGTGCTGTTGTACGGTCTATGAGACACTTGAAGGTTAATGCATGTGCCATATATACAAAGCGCATTGTACATATGCTTACCACATAAGTATGTTATAATCCATGTCTCATATATATTTTAATAATGTTAATGTTAGCAATAAATAGAATGAAGAATCCATTATAGAGAGATTCAAGTTTTGGAAAAATGGACAGTTCTGCATCAAAAGTAAATTAAGCAAGAATATTTATTTCTATGCTTCTCTGTGCTTATATTGGAGCAAATCAACAGTGAAAATGATTTAAAGAAACCTTGGTTCATTTGAAATAAAACGCTGATGCATTTGAAATGAAGTTCCCATGGAAACCATCTCTGAAGTGACAAAAACCTCAGAAGAACTTTCCTGGTGTGGCATCAGGAATGCAAGAACCCTCTAAATCTTCTAGAGGAAAGTAAATGTTAAATGAACCCCTAAGGTCCTCTTTGCCCTTTGGGTCTCAAGACCCTATATCTTAAGCCAAATTACTGGCTCTAAGGAAGAAAATTATGAAAATAGTAAGAAGATAAAGGGGCAAGAGACCTGTTGAGGATTCAGATAATCACAAGTCACACAATGTTGGTTAATGACTGAGGCTGGTATGAAGGCTAAAAAAGGTTTGTGTAGCAACTTGCATTATTTTAATTTTAATTTTTATTATTTTTAAAATTTTTTGATAATGAATTGTTTTTCTCTATTTCTTAAGTGTGTATAATGGGATTGAGAACAAGGATTGGGGTTCATTGGAACTACTCTGGGACGTGGACAGTTCCAAGTGTACATTGACCAATGAGACACTATCATTGCTGAGACTGAGCTGAGGGTGAGCAAGTCTTCACTGATATAGTGCACATCTGGCCTGTATGCAGTGGACTTGCCTGGAAGAAGACTTCTCCCTTTGTGTTATGATTTCATAACTTCTCCAAGAGGACTGCAGCCTTTAACTCTGGCTAAAAGCGTGTATAATCCGTCTGCTAACTGAAGCTTGAATTTCCCCAAATAGAGACTTATTTCTTGGCCATGGAATCTGTCATCTTTAATATATAAAAGTCCATAGTAAGGGCTATAAAATGCAAGTTGCTACACAAAGCTTTTTTAGCTTTCATACCAGTCTCAGTCATTAACCAACATTGTGTGACTTATGATTATCTGAATCCTCAACAAGGTCTCTTGCCCCTTTATCTTCTTACTATTTTCATAATTTTCTTCCTTAGAGCCAGTAATCTGGCTTAAGATATTGCATTTAAAGTGAAGGATGAAAATGTGATGCCTTGGAGGGCTGCTGGTTAAGCCACGAGTGCCTAATGTTTTAGAAGAGTAACCGATCTTATCAAGCAAACACTTTTCAATGACTCTCTTCTGAGTCATTGCTGAAATGTCAGATTACTCTATTTAAAAGTAAATCTGTGCCCCTTCCTTTTCTACCCCTCTCCCTGGCTTTTTTTTTAATAGCATTTTTCATTTTACATGTTTTTTTTCTTTCATTTTTTTTGTCTTCTCCCACTTGAATGAAAACTTCATGAGGGCAAGAATTTGCCTGTTTTTTTTTCCCCCAACTAAGGACTTAGAAGAGTTTCTGGGACACAGTGGATGCTAAATATGTATTCACTGAAGGAATATTATTTATTTTTGTTTACGTCTTTCTTCAAGTCCCCATCATCTGACATATTAGCTGTGGGATTCCTTCCCTGGCTTTCACATCTTGACAAAAATTGATATTAGTTATCTAATTAGTATTTGTTTTTAATTATCAAGCTTAATTTGCATGAACAGGTAGTGCAGGAAAACCAGGGAAGATTTCTTTATTTTTTGAGCTTGGAAAAGTTCATGTTGGATGTGAGTGGAATAATGACTCTTCTCCTCTGAAGTCCAGTACTCCCTAATTTGACCTTTCCTGGCTCTAATATGTTCTACCCTTGTCTCATTCCACATACGCTGCTGTGAAAGAATACCTGAGACTGGGTAATTTATTAAGAAAAGATTTTACTTGGCTCACTATTCTGCAGGTTGTTCAAAAACACATGGTGCCAGCATCTGCTTCTGGTGAGGACCTCAGGGAGTTTCCACCCATGGCGAAAAGCCAGGGGAACTGGCACGTAGAGATCACATGGCAATAAAGGGGAAGCGAGAGGAAAGAGAGGTGCCAGGCTCTCTTGAGAACTAATAGAGTCAGGATTCATTCATTACCACTAGGATGGCACTGCCCCTGTATCTCAAACACCTCCTCTTAGACTCCACCTCCATCACTGGGGATCAAATTTCAACATGAGGTTTGAAGGTCAAGTATCCAAACTTTAGCAGCCATCCTTTAAGACTGCTTGTTTTTATCTATTAAGAATCTCATGAAACCCTTGTAAGTAAAAATACTTCAGAGAATTCATTATCACAGGGAGGTAGTACAGCCAGTGGAAAAGACCATGAAAATTGGAGTTAGACAGATCAGCGTTTGACTTAAGATTCTGGAATCTGTTAGCTGTGTGTGTTTCTCACTTTTAAAGCGGAGATTAACATGTCTAATTCATGAGGTTGTTATGAGAAATAAATGAGGTAAAATCATTCGTACATTGGTGTTGGATTCTTGGTGTCTGTATGAAGGTGCTGGGTTGGATACAGTGTTTGGTATACAGTAAGTGCTTAATACAAGGTAGCAAGCATTGGTTTTTCCCATAGTGCCTTGTCCTTAATTGTGCTTAAAAAGATGTAACCTGAATGAAAGAATAGGTCATTAAAAGTAGGATCAAGAGTGTAAACAAACATTTTATTTTCCTTAGGGAAGGTGGTCTCTGGCGATGGCTCTGACGGAGCCTCTGTTAACTACTCTGAGGTCTCTACTCCAGAATAAAACTCTCCAGATGCCTGTTATCCACGGTGTTAGGAAAGACTGCTGTCTCTTTCCTGGCAGCTGGGCAGAAGCCTTGGGACAAAGTCACAATCAGAGATCGTTTTCTTCAGTTCTGCAAGAGAACCAAGATTCTCAAAGAGAATAAAGATTCTCAAAGTGGAGAAGCAGAAGCAGATGGGCCTGGGCTCCAAGTTGTCACGTTCTTTTCAGCAGGGCCACTGGATTTCTGTGAAAGAGATGGGCGACAGGCAGTAGAGAGCAGCACCGTGGCTCCAAGCTGAAGGGGGTGAGAGCCTGTCTGAGCCACTGGGTGCCACAACAGAGTGGTTAAAAGAAAGCTCAGACCACTCGCAGCTGTCAGAGCCCTGGCTTGTCACTTGAAGGCTCAGTGTCAACTGTTAGAAGGTAAGAGGAGTAATTTCGATGTTCCTGTGAAGCTCACACTAACTCATATTATTGTTCCTACCTTCAATCTGCATTTATTTACTGATGAGTCATGTTGGTAATATTTCCTGTGCCCATTGGTGTTTTTTTTTTCTATAGCACTGTGGATGTTTTCCTCTGTAATTGAGTATCATTTAATTACAAGTTTTAAATTGTTAATTTGTGTTAAAAAAAAAAAAACTAAACTAAAAACCAAGTAAGCATTGAGAATATACAGTGGAAAATAAAACCTTTATCCCTGCCCCGCTCCCCATCCCCCGCCAAAAAAAACTCAGACCGGGAAGCCAGACCACAGAGCTCTCCGGCTGCTGCAACTCTGCAGCCCTGGGACTTTGTGCAGGTAGCCCAGGCTGGGTGTCCTCATCTGTGGAACGGGGATGAGTGTAATGCCACACAGCATTTAGAACAGCACCTATTCCACAGTTAGTGCTCAGTAAATGTTTCTTTTCTTCTCCCTCCCACTCCCTTAATTTCCATTAACTTCCCAGTGTGTGTAGCCTTTCTCTCTTTCTGAGTGACTCCTTCTTTTTCTCTCACAGACAGTCCTAGAGGAGAATGCCTGCCAAGAACTCCTCCTCCGTGACAGAGTTTATCCTCTCAGGCTTAACCGACCAGCCGGGACTCCAGATCTCCCTCTTCCTCCTGTTTCTAGGTTACTACGTGGTCACGGTGGTGGGGAACCTGGGTTTGATAACCCTGACAGGGCTCAACTCTCACCTGCATATTCCCATGTACTTTTTCCTCTTCAACTTGTCCTTCATAGATTTTAGTCATTCCACTACCCTCACCCCTAAAATGCGGATGAGTTTTGTCTCAAAGAAGAACATCATTTCCTATGCAAGGTGTATGACTCAGTATTTTTTCTTCTGTTTCTTTGTCTTTTCTGAATCCTATATTCTATCGGCGATGGCGTATGACCGCCACGTGGCCATCTGTAACCCACTGTTGTACACGGTCACCATGTCTCCCCAGACGTGTTTGCTCCTTTTGCTGGGTGTCTATGGGATGGGGGTTTTTGGGGCTGTGACTCATATGGGAAACATAACGTTTATGTCCTTTTGTGGAGACAACCTTGTCAATCACTACATGTGTGACCTCCTTCCTCTCCTTGAGCTCTCTTGCAACAGCACTTACATAAATTTGCTGGTGGTTTTTATTATTGTGACCATTGGCATTGGGGTGCCAATTGTCACCATTTTTATCTCTTATGGTATTATTCTTTCCAGCATTCTCCACATTAGCTCCACAGAGGGCAGGTCTAAAGCCTTCAGTACCTGCAGTTCCCACATAATTGTGGTATCGCTTTTCTTTGGGTCAGGTGCTTTCATGTACCTCAAACCACCTTCTAGTCTACCCCTGGACCAGGGGAACGTGTCCTCCATTTTTTATACTGCTGTAATGCCCATGTAGATTAACCCATTAATCTACAGTCTGAGGAATAAAGATGTCAAAGTTGCCCTGAGGAGAACTTTTGCAGAAAATTAGTCTCTTAAAAATGAATGAGAAAGGGAATCCAAACCTTTGTTATTCAGGGGGTTTCTTTTCTTGTTTCAGGGAGGGAACAAATGCCAGTTCTTTCTCTCCCATACTTAGAGAAAAATTTTAACTTTTATTCTTAAGTGTACTTACTCCCTGCACTGCTTATCCACCCCAACTATTCCAACTGTTATTTTATGAGAATAGTTTCTACTGTTATACAGGGTTTAATCTTGAATAGGCTTATGAAATCATTTACTCCAGTCTCCTCATGTAATACATCACACTCATAAATATGCTGTAGGCTGCCAAAGGACACACATGTACCTGGTGCCAGAGCTGAAACTGGAGTCCGGGCTCTTGAATTTTAATACAATCTGCTGTGCTTTTCTTCAGCTACATTTCCTTGTTCCATCGTTTCCCTGACAGATTTCATTTTAAATTGTTTTTTCTTTTTTTTGCATTTAAAGAAATCTAATTATATTCATAGCGATGTCATGCAACTCTTCAAGGGTTAAGTTTTGGAATAACATTTTTGCAAGAGTGTTGGAAGTGAAAAATGTGGTTGATGTGGTCTTGACAAAAAGATAAGCAAAATTTTTAAAGAATTTTGGGTTGTGTGAGTGAGAAGTAGGTTAGGTTTCTTATAGAATCAAGGATGGTGCCCACAGAGATGGTATAGAACCTTGAGTCAAGACTTAACAATAGAAGGCCTTCTAAGGGGCAGATAAACAGATTTGAGGGAGTTAAGTTTGTTAGATACAAGCTTCATTCTTTATCTGAAGATTAATGGAGGCAGAATTTGGAGCCCCACCTCAAGGGTCTGAATAATGTAAATTAGTAATAGACAGCTCTGGATAAGTGAGCCATTAGCACCACAGCAACCAACTAGTTGTTAGGGGAGGCAATTGTCATTATATATTTAATAAGGCATAAAGGGAAGGATGGTGGTCTTAGAAGAGGTCATATATTCACAGCATTGGGTAAGTGGAAGTACAACTTTGTATAAAGAATGAGAAGAATAATTTTTTTGATCTGAATACATTAGTAATGGTAACAATTCTTTCAGAAGTCATGGCATGTGAACTGTCTGGAAGATAGTTTAATTTACAAACTTTGGAAAGTTATCTTCTATTAGAAAAAGGGAAAGTTTGGATTAATGTTTAGCTTTTTTCATTTGGAATCTTTTAGTTTAATTAGGATATGATTAAGGAAATGAAAGTGTAGGGTAGGATTGCATTTTGATGCTGAAGGAGAGGAATGATTATTAAATTCAAGACACATGGATTGACGGTGCAGTGGGAGTGGTGGAGAATCAGTACAGTGAAAACACCCTACTCCTTCTTAATTGAAATATAAATTTTACACTGAGGTGCGCGAACATTAACTGCTCGATGAATTTTTTTTCACATTTATAAGGCTATGATTACATACCTCCACCCAGACAAAAATATAGAAGATTTTTATCATTTTAGGGTATTCCTGCCCGCCCTTTCCCAGCAATTACTACTCCCCATGCTCTTCCTGGAAATATCCACATTCTTACTTTATCATCACAGTTTCATTTTTCTCATGCTTGAACTTCATATAAATGTTAAATAGTACATTTACTTTTTTGTGTTTTACTTAACATAGAGAGTCATGTGAGATTCATCCATAACAATTTTCTTTGTTATTGCTGTTTATTTTAGTATTTCATTGTATGAATGTAGAGCAATTTACTTACCAATATCTTCTTTATGGACATTTGCCTTGTTTTCAATTTCTACATATTATTAATAAAGCTGTTATAAACATTTTTTTTTTTTGAGATGTAATCTCGCACTGTTGTCCAGGCTGCAGTGCAATGGCACGATCTCGGCTCACTGCAACCTCCACCTCCCGGGTTCAAATGATTCTCCTGCCTCAGCCTCCTGAGTAGATGGGATTACAGGCACCTGCCACCACACCCAGCTAATTTTTGTATTTTTAGTAGAGACAGGGTTGCACCATGTTGCCCAGGCTGGTCTCGAACTCTGACCTTGTGATCCTCCCACCTCGGCCTCCCAAAGTGCTGGGATTACAGGCATGAGCCACCATGCCCAGCCTATAAACATTCTTGAACATGTATTTTGCTGGAAATATACACTTCTTTTGTTTGGGTATATACGTAGATGTAGATTTTATGGGTCACAAGGTAGGCATATGTTTAGGCTTCTAAATGCTATCAAATTGTCTTCCAAAATATTTGGACTGATTTGCACTCCCATCAACAAATTTCAGAAAAGGATACTCTTCATCTTTATTTTCAGTATTTTTCATTTTAATTACTCCATTGGGTGTGTATTACAATACTGCTTTAGTCTTTTAAATATTCCCTTGATAAACAGTGATTTTTTTTTTTTTTAGATGGAGTCTTGCTCTATTGCCCAGGCTGGAGTGCAGTGGCGTGATCTTGGCTCATTGCAACCTCCAACTTCCAGATTCAAGCAATTCTCCTGCCTTAGCCTCCCGAGTAGCTGGGATAACAGGAGCCTGCCACCACGCCTGGCTAATTTTTGTATTTTTAGTAGAGACGGGGTTTCACTATGTTGGCCAGGCTGGCCTCGAACTCCTGACCTTTTCTTAAGAGGCAAAGTCTTGCTCTGTTGCCAGGCTGGAGTGCAGTGGTGTGATCATGGCTCACTGAAGCTTTGAACTCCTGGGCTCAAGCTATCTTCCTGTCTCAGCCTCCTGAGCAAGGAGAACTACAGGTACATGCCACCACACCTGACCACTTTTTCTACTTTTTGTAGAGATGAGGGCTCACTGGGTTATCCAGGCTGTTCTCAAATACCTGGGCTCAAGTGATCCTCTCATCCTGGCCTCCCAAAGTGTTGGGATTACAGGTGTGAGCCACCACACCCAGCCTTGTTGGGCACTTTTTATATGTTCATTAGCTATTTGGACATCACCATTTGTGAAATGCCTGTTCAAATCATTTGGCCACTTAAAAATAGTGCTGTGGCTGGGTGCAGTGGCTCATGCCTGTAATCCCAGCACTCTGGGAGGCTGAGGTGGGCAGATCAAGAGGTCAGGAGATTGAGACCCTCCTGGCTAACACGGTGAAACCCTGTCTCTACTAAAAATACAAAAAAATTAGCCAGGCGTGGTGGCGGGCGCCGGTAGTCCCAGCTACTCGGGAGGCTGAGGCAGGAGAATGGCGTGAACCTGGGAGGCGGAGGTTGCAGTGAGACAAGATCGCACCCCTGCACTCCAGCCTGGGCGACAGAGCGAGACTCCACCTCAAAAAAAAAAAAAAAAAAAAAAAGTGTTGTTAGTCTTTTTTCTTATTGATTAGAGTTTTTTAAAAAGTATATTCTGGATATGAGTGCTTTTTCAGACACACACATTGCAGTTATCTTTACTCAGTCTCTGGCTTTCCCCATGACCACTCGCTAATTATGTCCTTTGATAATGATATTTTAATTTTAATAAAGTTCATTTGTCTACTTTTACTGTTCATGCTTTGTTCTGTTTAATTTTTTCCTACTACATAGTCACAAATTCATTCTCAGGTTTTCCTTTGAAAGCTTCATGATTTTTCCTTTAATATTTAGATTTTAGATCAATTTTAAATCAGTTATCATGTTATGGTATGCGGTAGTAAGTTTTACTGCTTTCATAAAGGTGTTAAGTTGCATCAGCATCATTTATTGACAGACCTTCTCTCCTCCCTGAATTGTATTGGCTATATTTGTATGTGTGTATTTGAAGATCAAGTGACAATAATTTAGTGGGACTAATTTGAGAGAAGTTGATTTGCAGCCAAAGTGCTGTATTCTCCCATTACAATGGTGAATAGTGATGAGAAAAACAGACATGCTTGCCTTGTTTCGAAGTGGAATTTCATACCTTTCTTACCTTTCACTTTATTTTAAATAACTTTTTAAAATTTAATTTTCTATTGTTTATTAGTAGTATGTAATAACACAGTTGTTTTTTGTAAATTGAATTTGTATCTAGCAACTTTGTGAATTGTTAACTAAACTTGACAAAAGAGAAAATAAAAATTTGTACTTTATTTTTTCTGCATATACTCATGTAATCTGCAAATAAAGACAGGTTTGATTCTTCCTTAATGGTCTTTATACCTTTTATTTAATGTTTTTCCTTGTCCTGTCTAAGACTTCCAACACAATAATGAATAGAGCTGAGAATGGATATCCCTGTCTTGTTTCTGAACTTAGGATAAAGGCATTAAGGCTTTCACTGTTGAATAAGACGTTTGCTGTAGCATTTGTTTTCTTCTGCAGAAGGCAGTAATTAGATTATGGGTGGGTGGGCCGGCACAGTGGCTCATCCCTGTAATCCCAGAACTTTGGGAGGCCGAGGAGGGTGGATCACAAAGTCAGGAAATCGAGACTATCCTGGCTAACACTGTGAAACCCTGTCTCTACTAAAAATACAAAAAAATTAGCCAGGCGTGGTGGCGGGCACTTGTAGTCCCAGTTACTCAGGCGGCTGGGGCAGGAGAATGGTGTGAACCGGGAGGCAGAGCTTGCAGTGAGCAGAGATCGTGCCACTGCACTCCAGCCTGGGTGACAGAGCAAGACTCGTCTCAAAATAAAATAAAATAAAATAAATAAAAAATAAAAAAGATTATGGGTGGGTGATTAACAGCTTCCATTTAAGAAGGAATATATTTTTCCTGAGAATACATGTCATGGTAAAAAATTAAACAGTACAAAAAAGTATACAGTAGAAATAAGGTTTCCTTTCATGTCAGTTCTCCCATGCTTATGTTCTTCCCCCTGGATGCAACTATTCCCAGAAATAGAATAGGCATATACAAGCATATCTCTGTACCTTCTATCTATCTACCTACATATTTATATATTTAGAGACATTTTTTGTTTTGAAATTTAGTAAAAGGGGATTTAGGGTTGTATCTTCCAATGGAAATGACTTAAAGAGGAGGGAGCACAGGACATTATTAGGCAACAAGAAGAGAAAACCATACTTCAGTCTACGCAATATTGGGAAAGTAAAATTCTCAACTTCAGTCCCCTCCTGTTCCCTCTAGTCTTTCTGTCTCACATAATGGGTATGAAAAGCTGAGAGGCACTTGTGAAGGTCACAGCCCCAGGGAATAGGCCAACTAAAAGGCCGAGACATAATCATAGCAATAGAGAATGTTTTGCCTCCCACCCACACTTTACTATCACATCCATTAATCTCCTTTATAAAAACAGGGGGTTAGAGCACGGCTCAGACTCTATTTAAGAGAGTTTCTAGGGAAATCCTGAGACAACAGGAGGAGTCAAGAAGGTACTAGAGAAAGTTGAAGCTTTAGACACCTACAGCTACCGCAAACAGTAAACAGACAAAACAAGCAACCATGCTAAGATATAGGGGAGGATGTTGGAATTATCAGACTGGGAATTTAAAACAGCTAT